AATACCATAATTTCAAAATCCATAATATTATTATGTCTGCTAGATTTTATTTTATGAAATGGAACACTGTAAAGATGTGTCTATAATGTCTCCGCATAATGAATGGTGAAGACGGATAAGTTTACTCTGTTTGTATACTGCAATTTTCTTGTTTTACTATGTACAACCGTATGCAGTCAAAACATAAACAAACAAAATGTGAACAGAGCAGACGAAAATCTTACAGATTACAGCTTTCTCAGTAGGAATCACTATACTAAATCAAAGAATTATTTAAAAGACGGTATCCAATTCATCACTGAATTCCCATGTTTATTGGGACACCCTGTAACTTAGATTTACTTAGATATTTGCATTCCATCTATTTGTCTCGTTCTTTGTGCCCCTACACAGATTTAGAATAGATTGAAAACCTTACATATAAAGATAACAATCTCCAGGCTTAATTTTGAATTTTCTCATGAATATATTTTTTAATGATTTATATAATTAAATGAGTTGACAAAGAAATGCCAAGTCTTTAGTACCAAATAATATGGAATTCAAAGGGAGTGACCGGCTACAGGGTGTCCCACGAAACATGACAATAGGAAGACGACTTGAAAGTCGTCTTTGGTATTTGAATTTATTTGTGACATTTAGTCTTCTATCTACTTTAACATGTATGATTCTTGAAACAATTATCACATAATTCTCCTAGCCCTGGCATTTCCAAAAAGGGGTCTGCGTTTTTTGTGCTTTCAATATTACCTGAGATATAAAGAGTTTGGTTCAGATTTCAATTTTGTTAAATAAAAGCAAAATTGTCGAAATCTGAACGAAATTCTTCATATCTCGGGCAATATTGAAAGCACAAAAAAGGCAGACCACATTTTGGAAATGGCAGGACAAGGGAAATTTTGTGATTATTATCTCTAGAAATTTACTTCTAAAATTAGGTTGACAAATAAACGCAGCAAATTATATCAAAAATCAAGACGACATTCAAGTCGTCCTGCATACTGTCATGTTTCGTGGGACACCCTGTATGTAAGGTAGTTGAACTGAGTATACAGTGTTGTGGAAAGCTTCTTTCGGATTCATTTGAGACATATTAAAACTTTAAAAGATCTGTAAATTCTGAGTTTGGGCGCAAATTCAATGTTCAAAACTCCTACTTTTGGGGGTAGATACGCTTTCAGAATTAGTTTTTTTTAAATTATTAAATAATAACGACATAAAAAGTAAAAAAGTTCTACAATAAACTACAGACGTCATGTATGGAGCATGTTGAGAAAATAAAAATTAATCTTATCATCGAAAATAAGTAATCTTGTTTTATTATTAGTTTCTATCATCTCATTATTCTGGTTTCTCATTATTCACAAAGATTTTCGCAGATTTTCTAGAATTATTATTGAAAAGACGACATTTAAAGAATTTGAAGAAATCTGCGGATAAATGCAAAAAAATTAGAAATTCAATATAATGATGAAAACGAAATAATCGATTCTAGCATTGATTTATTGGCACATTTCTTTTGAGAAATATGTTCCTAACCATCTAATTAGATTACTGTATAGTTTTTACATTAATCTTCGTTGTAGTTATTTAATAATTAAAAAAACTAATTCTGAAAACGTATCCACCCCCAAAGTAGGAGTTTTGAACCTCGAATTTGCGCTCAAACTCAGGATTTACATATCTTTAAAAAGTTTAATATGTCTCAAATGAATCCGAAAGAAGTTTTCCACAACAATGCATACTCAGTTCAACTACCTTACATAGCCGGCCACTCCCTTTAAGAAAAAAGGCTGAATTAATTTTGCTACTGTCACTTGTAAAGTTTCATGATGTGTGACTTCTTGTGTTATAAGATTGAAACATTATTATAATTTATTATGTGCTGGATCCTTACAATGGAAAATGCTTCTAGTTTTCACAGCTACGTTTAATCTTTTTTAATTAAAAGCATAAAGTGAATATTTCCCATCGATTTCAGCATAAAGCATCCACCGGAAATTCCGTTTCCGCTAAAATGTTCTTTTTTTTTTCCCGGAAGAAAAGGGTGCCAGATTCCACTCTTCCGGCGGAAACTTTCCAATATGAGTAAACCATTTTTATCCAGCATCTGTGGCGTGGTCATGGATGAAAAATTATTTTTTTGAATGTCTGAAGAGCGGGGGGAGGCAGGCAGCGATTAAGCTAGAACATTTTCCCTTTCTATGCCACACATTATCTTTTTTGTCTTCCTGCAGCCATGAGCCACAACCGTACGGTCTTCCATGCCACAGCATTTGAGTCTTCTGGCAGTTATTACGTTTTTAAATGATGAGTTTCGGTATAGATATTGCAAATTCAAAAATCCTGTCGTTACTGCGTATCAGATTTACTGAAAACAATTCTATTTTGTAATTTTCTCGTGAAATAGTTCAAATTTTCGATAATGGGTGCCTTTTGAACTTTAAGAGTATGTTATGGTTCATTTTATTATTGTTCGTAATGTTTTTAAAAATAAACCATTTTAGAGGAAAGATTGAATTTATTTAAAAAGTAAAAGAAATTGTCATTATTTCAATCTAAAACTTAAAAACAGTGGTAGGTGATTATATATACAATTAAGACGACTTTTGATTTCAATTTTGATTTATATCAAGGTGTTAAAACAAGCATGGATATACACATTAACATAAAAGTAAGAAAAACTATCAATAAGAAAAGTTTTTCATTGATTGCTTGTCATTCCAAAAAAGCTTGTTAACAATCAACTTAAACAAAAATTCATTGTATTTATATAATCGCCTGCCACCATTTGAAGTTCTTTAAAGATATCTTTTGCATATTTTTGCTGGATTTTTGATAATCAAAATTTCAATACACTAAATCTATTATTAAAAACGTAACAACTGCCGGAAGACTCAAATGCTGTGGGATGAAAGACCATACGGTTGTGGCTCATGGCTGCCGGAAAACAAAAAAAGCTAGTATGCTGCTATAGAAGAGAAACATACTGTGGGACTAGGGTTTTTAATAGTTTTTGAAAATATCTTAAACGATCGTTTTTTGTTTCGTTTTTCAATCGTTTTCAAAAACGATCGTTTCGGTTTTGGAAAAACCTATCGTTTTTAAAAACGACCCGCTCGTTTTGAACTTTTAGAAAACGAATAACGATCGTTTGAGAAAACGATCTTTTTTTTAAAAACGATTTGTGACTGTTTTTATACGATTGTTTTTTAAAAACGATTGCTTTTGAAAAACGATCGTTTATGAAAAAAAATTGCTGACAATTATTTTAACAATCGCTGACGTTATAAAAACGGTCGTAATGGAAAAACGATCATTTTGAAGAAAAAATTACATGCAACTTTATCGAATGTCGTCTTGCATGAAGTTAAAAAGTTGTGGGGGAGCTAAAATTTCTTGAAAACTACTCAATGATAAGTACATATGCCCTTCATGTCGGTTTCCTCTCTTCGTTAACTATCGTTAACGAAGTCGTCGTTAAAACGATTGTTAACGAAGGGTCGTCGTCAACGATTGTTATCTAAACGACTATTTTTATAAAAACGATCGTTTTGAAAAACGACCATTTTAAAAAAACTACCTTGAAAAAAACGAACGTTTTTGAAAACGATCGTTTTGTTTTCGATTTTTCATCGTCGTTTTCATAACGAAACGATCGTTTTAAAAAAAAAGAACACGTTAACATCCCTAGCTGTGGCTTATGGCTGCCTTACCTTCCTCCGCTCGTCTGAACCTTAGTATGGCCCTTGGAGTATAACATACAAATTGATTTTATTACTATTTACGTTTTTTAAGAGTATTTTTAGCCAAGAATCCCGGAAAAGTTTTCCGCCGGAAGCCAGAAATTATGCAAAAAGCCAAAAAATTCCCGTCTAAAGCCGGAATATTTTTCAGCGAAAAATTTCCATTATTCCGTTTGCCGGTAATCATAATTTCCGCCGGAAATATTCCGGCGTACAATATGACACTACAGATTGGCGGCATCTTGAAATTATTCTATCTGCAGCATTATAGAAGACCAATTTCTCCATTTAACCCATTTTTCCTATTTAAAATTTTGTTGATGAAATTTGAATTTGGAGTCCCAGGCGGGACATGTTCAACTCTCAATTGTAATATATTAAACCTGCGCCAGCAAACTATTTTAACGATTTTCTTGTTTGATCTACAAAATAGTGATTTACGCAACAGCAGTCTCTTTAAATACAAATTGCACCTGTCTAATCTACAATTGAAGTAGCTGCGCAAATGAAATGTTTTCTTCAACCTGATTCCTTGAGAGGAGAAAGGCCAACCACAACAATTTATCGTCCAAGTATGTCGCATTCGTCTCATTTCGTTTCAATATTATTTTTTTTGAAGTGTCCAATCCTTGAAGATGATGATTTAATGAAAATCTTGTGATCATTGCAATACTTTAAGTCTGTTGAGTATGGCTCAGAGGACAAAATGCGGCTCGGACAATAAATTGTTGTAGGCCTTCCTCCCCTCATTGCATAATCAAAAAAAAAAAGAATTGAAAAATGTTTAACCAGTCTTACCAGGCCTCTTTTTACGCAATACTTACTGTACCAGAAGTGCAACGCAAGTGTTAGTTATCAATGATTAAATCTAGAATTTAGATTAGGATTAAGTCGTAAAATTTTGACAAATTGCTTCTATTAATCTTTTTCTATGAATTTCTTCCTTTTTATCAAGTTCTTGAGGCATGTTCCAATTTACTTTAGTAGGAATCTTTCTAAAATGTCCCAATCCTATTGAAACGCATTAATTATTAAACTATGCATCACGGTGTACTATGTAAAAAGGCAGTAGGATTTATGCATAAGACGCTAAAAAGACCCCTAAAAACTATTTAGCCTTATTGCGCACCAACAAAGCTTTGTTTAAATTTGTATAATCCTGTCAAATAAGTAGTACAAATAAAACCAGTCTCAAAACCAAAAATATAAGAATTGTAAATAGAAACCAAATTTTTGTCCAATGACATACACATGTTCACACTGTATAAATGTTTATTACAGAAAATGAGAACTGAAAATTTACAAAAATATCACATGTTACATAATACACGTTAACAAAAAAACAGGGCCGGTACAACTATTAAAAAAAAATACTGCTTCAAACAAATTATCGACTTTTGTAAGAAGGTGATACAATATCGTTTTAACTAGAAATTAACAAACCATAAAGACAACAGTCAATTTGTCGTATGTACATTGTTAAATGAGGAATAACTCAAATCTATGAATTACTCCTGAAACTGCACGAGCTGTAGCACGAGGGTTGAGTTGGACCAGTGACAGGTTAGGTAGAGAATTCTGTTCAGGGTGTCCAGGTGCATTCCTAGCAGAGAGAATAGATAAATATAGAGTGGAATTAGGTCGAAACCCATTTTGTTGCACTGTTTCCAGACTGAAGGTGTACTTTACACATTTCAGGCCCTGGAACATTGTTTGGAAGAATAAATGTTCTCGACCATAAAATAATTGTCTCTATATTAATTCTCTGGCAACCTGACATGCATTCCCGAGGTAATTATAGCATAAGCTTTACTTTACATTCCCGAGTTCTTTTAAAGCATAAACTTTACTTACAAGAAAACTTGAAACGGATATGTCCAGGGATCATACTGTATTATTATGATGTACCGTTATAATTCAAGAACATTCACATGAATTGTACTTTGAACTTCTTTTTAGGCTAAAAGAGACTGCACAAATTCATACCGAGGTATAGTCTTATTTCCCTTCTATTCTAATCTCTGTTCTGTGGCCAGAGGATGGAATTTATGGGTTACAAAAAGTGGTCGAATTAAGTATAGGATAAGATTTTAAAATTAGGTATAGGGGAATTTATCCTTTAGAATCTTATGAAGTTCTCCTTGTGTCCAGCTTCACCTATTAATCTTGATTAGTATTTTTGCATCCTAAGGAGTAATGATGTCAACCTTTAAATTATTAGATTAGAAAATTTAAATTTCATCATTTACAAATACATTTTCTTATCTGTCTGTCTGCCACTCCGGTTCTATCCTATATACGTCAAAACGGCTGAACAGATTTATAGATACACAATAATTATTTTAAAAAAAAAATTTCTTTAATTTTGAAAATGCGCAAAAAAAGTATTAAAGCCGCGAACTTTTATTTTTGTTTTGTATTTTCTTGTACATATAGGTAGATGCTCACAGATAAAGCCACAATAAAAAGTTAAAAATAGAAGACATAAACTTTGCTTGTCTGTCTGAATCTAATAAATGTCAGAAAGGCTAAACCGATTAGGTCCAAATTTTGTGTGGGACCTCACATGACCAAGGGATGCTGAGAATTTAAAAATAGGTTGTATCCATTTTTTTGATTTTTGTAAAAAATCCACAAAAACAAAATTATAAGTTCGCAGAAAATGTTATTATTAAAATTAAAACTAGTACTTTATCTAGCAACCAGGAACAAGCCCTGCAATGGACTGGGTTGGATCAAACAAAACATTTTTTCATTCAAGAGAGAGTGCCGGAAGATTGGTGGTCTAGTATTTAATATATCTCATTAAATTACTTTTTATAAAAAACAACAGATCAGTTGTTGAGTCCTTATATGTCGAAAGGGGGGCCCTCAAAGTCTACACACATTAGTTTAATTAATGCTAAAAATACATACCACAGGGGCGTAGACTCATCTCTGGTATATCCAGGGATCCCAAGCATTCATACTCAGCATTATAAACCTGAATTCAAATATTCTATAATGTCTTCAAAATATGACTTTTCAATAACGCGAGCAATTGATGTTTATAAAGCAACAGTTTTTAAACAGAAGGGGTAATCCATTGATTCAGAAATAAGATTTGCTTTATGTCGGTGGTTTTTGAAATAAATCAAACTTTTAAAGTTTTTAGTGACTGGAGGATGCCCATTTTTTTATTTCATTTGTTTTCTTTAGTTTTTAGGGGACTTAGTATCTGTCCTTTGTAAAGAATTTAAAAATTTTATTCTATGCAAGTTTGTTTTAGTCGAATCTATATATAAATTTGGCTTGTCTGTCTGTTTGTTTGTTTGTATCCAATAAACGTCAAAACGACTAAACCGATCAGGCCCAAATTTTTTGTGGGACATCACGTGACCACAGGGAAGGTTTATGAATGATAAAAAAAAGAGTTTTAAAAGTTTTTGATTTTGTAAAAAAAGTTAAATTCTTGAAAATCCGCAAAGAACTTGTTCACAATTTAAATAGAATAGCCTAGAAAGAAGGGCGCGAAGCGCCTTGAATTTCTAGTTAAAGAATATTTAGACTTTGACAGATGATTGGAAAATATTAATGGAAGCAAAACTAACGACTAGCCATCATTAACTGTTATATTTTATAGTTTACTAAATGTTTAAAAGAACAGAAAGAATAGCTTCCCGGTGTCCGCGTCTTAAATCTCTTTGGATAAATTATACATTCCAAAGAATGTATAGACCACCAAAAACCAGTTTCAATTGAGCGCGGCTTAAATTGAATACAATTTTAAGTGAAACCAACCATATTTGAGCCGCGGCCTAAATTTAAGCAGCCGCTCAAATTCTTAAAATTCGGCCTCAGGTCTGGCTTTCATCAGCAATTCCCTTATTTTTAAAACTCAAATATCTGTCATTTAATCTTCAAATGAACTCTTTAATTTTTTAACGACTTCTGTAAGTGTAGTTTCAAATTGGTTTTAAATTAAGATTTTCAACACAAATTTCTCGGCCAAAATGAAAAAAGAAAGTGTAAGAATTTGCTACTTTTTCACCTAGGAAAAACTATGCTGTTGTCCATATTAATAATAAGGTACCACAGTGCATGCACCTCTTTGAACAAAGACAGTCCTATTGAAAACAGTTACCTGAACTCTGTTATTTTTAGAATCCGCCACGAACATAGTTCCAGAGGAATCTAGAACCACAACCTCGGCAGGATCCATCTTTACAACAGCAAACTCATCTTCAGTGTTTACAGGATCCTTAAACATAATTATTCAGGATTTAATCAAAGACTGAACTGTGCTTGCAAGATCCTTGAACATGATTATTCCATAGATCATATCATAACGTAAAATCATATCAGGAAAGAGATCTGAAAGGCCCCCCCCCCCAGATTAGAGAACCCAGACCGCCGTCGGTTGAAAGTCTGGGTTCTCTAACAACCTAAGATATATTTTTTTTCAATGATATGCTTAATGACAGTGCTTAGAATCCGGATCCGTTGGATCCACAACATTTTGGCTTGTTGAATCCGGATCTGCAAAAATATGCCGAATTACGGAATCGGATCCAGCAACAATGGATCAACAAATAACTGCCAAAAAAGCAAATCTGAACTGTTAAGAGAGGTTAATTAAGTTTAAGCAAAAAAAAAGCAAAAAAATCAGTAAATCGTTAAGAAATTTTTATGACCTGGATGCGGATCCGCATCAAAATCAAATAGATCCTAAGCACTGCTCAATGATTTGACAAAAAAGCAAAACGTCAACAAATGCATGCACCATTTACTGCAGTATCATCTTTTTTGAGTAACCCTGTATTAGTATGTGCTAATTTTCTAAATTTAACCGTTTACCTGAGAATCAACTGAAACCATCTCTCCCAGAATTTGTCCGTCCATATTTACTTTGACAACCTTGTGCAGTCCTGGGCAACTAAGGTACAGGGATCCCCTGAAAGAATTTAAGTAATTAAATTTATAGATAACGNGACATGTGATTTTAAATGAGAAAACATTATTAGTCTTATATTTCAAAGTAATCCACGAGAAACAATAGAAAAATCCTTTAGGTTTTACCAGTTCATTCAATAATTTCACTTAAACATTTTTCTTTGACAATAGCAGGTGACATAAGAAACCGTCCAACAATTTCTGAAATATCATAATTGTTGACGCTTTTAAAATAGAGATTTTATCATGGTAATTTTAAGTACGAAGAGGAAACACTGTTAACGACCGTTTCATGAAAAGTTGGAAACTTACAGAATGAAAAGCAGTTAAATAACAGCATGACAAGTTGTTAACTAACTGCATGACAAGTTGTTAACTAACAGCATAAAAAGTTGTTAAATAACAGATTTAAAAGCTGTTGAAGAACAGATTAAAAAGTTGTTAAATAACAGATTAAAAAGTTGTTAAATAACAGATTTAAAAGTTGTTAAATAACGGCATGAAAAGTTGTTAACTAACAGCATGAGAAGTTGATAAATAACAGATTGAATGGTTGTTAACTAACAGTACAAAAAGTTGTTAACTAACAACATGAGAAGTTGATAAATAACAGATTGAAAAGTTGAAAATTAACAGCATGAAAAGTTGTTAAATAACAGATTTTAAGTTGTTAACTAACAGCATGAAAAGTTGTTAAATAACAGCATGAAAAAATGTTAAAAACAGATTAAAAGTTGTTAACTAACAGATTGAAAAATTGTTAACTAACAGCACGAAAACTTGCTAAATAACAGATTGAAAAGCAGTTAACTAACAGATTGAAAAGTTGAAAATTAACAGCATGAAAAGTTGGTAACTAACAGCATAAAAAGTTAACTAACAGATTGAATAGTCTTAACGCGCACAGTAACACCTCTTGTTTACTCCCTTTAATTATTCCAGAACACTCCCTTTTTTAAACCTAACCCTAGCAAAATTTGCTTTACCTGTCATAGGTGATCCACTTGCAGGAGTTCACCTTGCTAACCATCATCTTGGATTCAATTACATAATTATCCAAATTGATCAGAGCTATCTGCTGGTCAGCTTCCCTTTTCCTAGAGTTTGAAATTATGTAATAACTAATTTTCGGGGTGGGGGGGGGGAGGGGGGAAATGTTGCTTTTTTATCCATTTCTGAACATGATTTTTGCTTATGTAGGTAGCTAATTGCATGCCGATTTTTGTCAACTTTTCTGTTTGATTTTTAACTTCAAACACCTAGCTGAACAATTATCATTTTTGACATTCTACACGAATATTAATCAATATTTTTCTACCAAAAAATTTCACATGCTTTAATAAATTAATTTTAACAACAATGTTAAGATCAGAATGAGATCACTTAAGTGATACAAGAATAATTACCTCTAGCTTTGTTAGTACTTATGAGAAAACTAGTTACTGACCTTTCAACAAGAGTTATAATCCTGTTGTTATCATCCTGTGCTATACCACAATACTTTCCTTCAACAACCTTTACATACATCAAATCATTTAAATGACAACTTTCTGACAACATATTTTAGAGATGTGTCTTCTAATTCAAATTTTTTTAAGCGCCCAGCCGATTTCATTTCCATCTCAAAGCTTACAAGAAAGCAAAATTAAGTTTTTCAGGCACCCAAAACAATAATTCACAAATAATAAGAGTTGTACATGCAATTAAAATCAATTTATTTTCTTAAATATCAAAATATTAAAAATATTAAAAATAATTTGTAGATTAAGGAGCGCTCACATAACTGTGAAAACAGAAAAAAAACATTTAGTGATATCTCATTGGTTGGCACTAAAATTGAACTTTTTTCTCGTGATTTTTTTGGTTGAAATTGTTGCTTAGGATCAATTTCATTTTGATCCTCCCTGATAAAAATGGATCCAAGTTACTATTTTTTATTAAATGATGAAAGAGAGTCCACGATTTTTTTTTCTTTTTTACCCACTGAAACTTAATGAACCAATCAGAGATTATAAAGTTTGATCAAATCTATCGTTAGTGAACACAAAAACTAAGGTTTCTAATAGAAGGCTTTGTTTGAAATAGCTTTCATGTAGAAAAATTGTGTTGAAGTGGTTGAAGAAAATTTTAATTTTTTTTTTTTTTTTTGGGGGGGGAGAGGAGAGAGGTTGAATTGTAGCTGATGCTGATTGCTGGATCCTAAGCACTTTTAGTTCCAATATTTTTTTTATACCACATTTATAGGGTCGATCCCATGGCATACGATTTTTCTCAATGTTTTTGAAACCAATTTAGATTGTATTTATGGGAGAATGCACAATTCTTGTTTAGACCATTTTAAAACAAATTTACTCTCGAGTTTTAAAACTCTGATAAAAAATATCAAAGTTTGTTAAGGACTGGTTGAAACTTCCAATGTTTTATAGCTACAACATTACTTAAAAATAATGTAGAATTGATAAATATTGATTTCAAGTAGGAAATTATAACCCTGATAATTGATTCCTACTGACCTTGATCGGAGTAAACTCTGGGGTAAGGAATACCAGACCCTGCTTGCAGGTCAGCACAAACCCTCCCTGCTTGAGATGAAGTAGCTGCCTAGGTTTAGGATACTCCAGGAACGCCTTTATAAACTCTCCACGCTTGGTAAACTTTCGGATTGACTGGGAGTCCTTGCAAACTAGATTTTTTGTATGAAGTTACAAGGAAGTGAAGTTGCAGCAGAGAAAATTAATCAAATTAACAAAAAACGTGTTTGAATATCTAAGGAGGTCGAAATTAATGATTAACTAGACTCCAAGATTAAGTTATGACTGGTTAACTACTACTCCCTACTCATTAAATCCAACCTCCAGGAAGTTATGTCTCCAACAGAAACTGCTTCCCACTTAATAATTAGTGTACATCCATTTTTCGTTTATGAAAGATGCTTTTTAAGCAATTTAAGTACAGGGTGGCCAAAACTTTTTTGAACCCATTCGTACAAAAATCCGTACATTTTCAGAAGAAATCCGTACAATCCGTACAATTTTCGAAAAACAATCCGTACAATTTTTTAAAAAAAAATCCGTGCAATCCGTACATTTTTTTAAACCAATCCGTACATTTTTTTAAAAAATCTGTACAATCAGCACAATTTTCGAAAAAATCCCATTTTTGAAAAATAAAAAACGGTGTATTTTCCAGGATAAAATCCGTACAATCCGTACAATTTGAAAACAAATCCGTACAATCCGTACATTTTTAGGGTTAAAAAAAATCAATCCGTACAATCCGTACATTTTGGCCACCCTGTAAGTATTAAAAAGAAGATGCAAATTAATGACAGGTTTAAGGTTGCCAATGCCGTTGAAGGATAATTGAATGAACTTTCATATACATTTCCTATATAAACATACGTAGAATCTGCAGCTACTCCTATAGGTCGGTGCAATCCATCCTGCATTCTTAGCAACAGTCTAGTTCCAGGTATACGCGGAGACACCTGGAAAAAATATCTCTTTAAATGATTCTAGGGTTAGAATATGCTTTATTTTATTGAGGACATCATTCATGTCCGACTTTTTGCGACAACTCAAAAAATATTGTGGGGCTGTTTAATTTTTATGACGTTTCTTACAAATAAATGCTCAACACTGAAGACTAAAAGATAGGATTTAATATCTACTGCCCTAGTCCTCAAGCATACTGCTAGAATGCCTAATTTTACCTTATACCAAACTAAATCTAAATTTAGACCTACTTCTACTCATTGGATTTTAACATGTTATAGCTTTTTTTTGGAAATCCTTTAAAAAAGAAAGCAGATTGCACAAAGAAATTTAGCTTAGATTTATGCAAATAGTTTTGCATTATTGGATTTGCTGGGTCAAGGGCTCTTCAGAAATGTACCAAATATTATAGATTTGTATCATAAGGAAAAATTTCAGGTAAACCGGAGGTCCGTCGGAATAGGGTTAAATGATTGAAGGGTTAGAATGTTTCATTGAGGACACCACACATACTAATTAAAGGGAATGAAATCGCAATTTCAAGTCACCCTCAGTGCAAAGATGGTAAATGGTAATGCCCGATTCACAGTGGTACACTGAAAAGCTTTGACTGATCAAATATGAATAAGATATCAACCTTTTAATTTAGAAAACTGATATTTATAAATTATGGTCTTATGGTGACTTGCATATTTCTACTGCAGCAATTATCAGATATTTTTAACTAGAAAATCAGATAATGGTTTCAAGGTTCTCGTTTTGAATCGGGAATTGCCATCTTTGCATGGAGGGTCGCTTAAAATTCTGCGTACAGTCCTTTTAAGTCCGGCATTCCGATAATAGATGGAGAAAAGGAAATCTTTCTGTTGATAATCAAAAGTTAATAGTTAAAGTTAAAGTTAAAAGCTAAAACAATAAAAAAAATTCAATAAAAATACATAAAAAAAAAAATTAAATGCATCAATTTAAAAAAGGATTTCAGGCCAAGGGTCAGAAGTTTGTAGGGGTCTGTTTGTAACCAATAAACGTCAGAACAGCTAAACCGATCGGGCTCAAATGTTGTGTGGGACCTTTCACGACCCCAGGGAAGGTTCATGAATTATCAAAAATTAAAAAAATTAGTATGCATATCAAACGAAAGCTAGGAACCAAGGGAATACAGTAGTAGCAACAAATACAGTGTTTGACCTTCTTGTGACCTCTTACGACCTCAATGACCTAAATGACCTCCAAAAATGAAAATGTTTTAACTATGGCTTTATGCATATCAAACGAAAGCTAGGAATCTAGGGAATACAGTAGTAGCAACAAATCCAGTGTTTGACCTTCTAATGATCTCTAATGACCTCTTATGACCTCTAATGACCTCCACAAATAGAATATTTTTCAACTATGGCTTTTATGCATATCAAACGAAAGCTAGGAACCCAGGGAATACAGTAGCAGCAATAAATCCAGTGTTTGACCATCTTATGACCTCTAACGACCTCTAATGACTTAAATGACCTGAAAAATGCAATTGTTTTAACTATGGCTTTATGCATATCAAACGAAAGCTAGGAACCCAGGGAATACAGTAATAGCAGCAATGAATCCAGTGTTTGACCATCTAAGCCATTGTGAAAGAATTTCATTTTTGGAGGTCATTTAGGTCATTCGAGGTCATTATTAGGTCAAACACTGTATTTGTTGCTACTGCTGTATTTCCCTGGATTCATATCTTTTGTTTGATATGATGAAGCCATAGCTTAAACATTTTCATTTTTGGAGGTCATTTAGGCCATTAGAGGTTGTTAGAGATCATTAGAAGGTCAAACACTGGATTTGTTGCTACTACTGTATTCCCTGGATTTCTAGCTTTCGTTTGATATGCATAAAGCCATAGTTAAAACATTTTCATTTTTGGAGGTCATTTAGGTCATTAGAGGTCGTAAGAGGTCATTAGAAGGTCAAACACTGGATTTGTTGCTGCTACTGGATTCCCTGGGTTCCTAGCTTTCGTTTGATATGCATAAAGCCATAATTGAAATATTTTCTATTTGTGGAGGTCATTAAAGTTCAATTTGTTTTTATTATAGGAATTTCGAACCCTAATTAGGCGTGCACCCAAAAAATTGGAAGATTTGAACCAAAAATGAAGGCAGGGCCCCCCTTCCCCCCTACATCAAATGTGCCAACTCCACCATCCCCTTTTACAAATCCACATTTTTTATAGAATTGCGCGATTTTTTTTTATTGTTTTACAATGTTTACAAAGAGAAAATATTTGATTGGGCTAGATGATGGGCGCGCTGAAATACTAGTGTTGTAAAAAATAGAAGTACAATCCTTACTTCACATTCAGATGAGTCAGCTGAGTTTGATTCATCTGAGCTATAATCCAATGCATCAGCATACTTGAACTCTGGCTTAACTGCCTGATTTACCAGGTTCGAGGAAATAGTGAAGGGAGAGACGGTTTTAATTGATCCGTCAAGTAACTCAACACTAAGGCAGTCGGCGCTTCTTTTTTTAACAACAACCTAAAAATTGACACGGGGTTATTTACCTCTGAACTTTATTTATCTCCCGCCCCTCCCCCCCCCCCCCCCTCATAATTCTCAAAATTGATTTCCCTTAAATAAGTTGGAGGGTATTTATAGCTTACTTTTGGTCTTTAAGAAAACTTTAGGAAATTTTGAAAGAAAAGTTAACAAAATATTTTACTTTTAACATCCTTTATTTGGTTCAAGTTTATATTCTTTTGCCTTCTAGAACAGCAAAAAGTAATTAAGAAGAACTAACGTTGCTTTCTTGCTTAAATGGTTGATTCTAATAACGCATCCTTAAAATAGAATTTCGCAAGTCACTTTTGTTGGGGCGTTGAATGATTTTTAAAAGAAAATCTATAAAATTTAAGGGTAAAAAGTAAGAAAAAGGATGAAAAACTTGCCCTTAACCCCTCCCCCCTCCTTTGAGTAGAATGTAAATAACCCCTATTCCTTCTTGAAATACCTGAACAGTTCCATGGAGGTATCCAACATCTCCAGGATTCCACTTCTCCAGTTCCAGGTAAAGATTCTTTAGTTTTACGTTCGCACTCAGACCTCCGCTATTCTACAGTGTAAAGAAAAATTAAGGATTTGAAGAACAGGTTTCAGGTCAAATTTAGACAAACCAGTAGAAATGTACTTAAAGTTAGCTTAACTGGTCGAATAGATATTAAAGGAACTGTGTACTTGTCCCTTTAAGAAACTACAGAAACACTAGATATGCAACCTGTTTTAAAGTCGCAGAAAATACGTTATCACAATCAAATTTTTAACAACTCTTTGGACAAAATGTTTGGGATTTTCTAGGTATCCATGTAGTCAGCTGCGCTATGTTCATACTATATGCTAGCGTACTCTTGTTTTACAACAATTCGAACACCTTATGAAGGATAAACACAAAGCTCTCTCTTGCTTTGATGATCAGTAAAATGTAAAATGCAATAATAAAAGTACTACGGTAAATCAGGAATTTTTCAGGTATTTCCATCTTTGCATTGGGTGTCACTTGAAATTTCGCTTTGAGTCCCTTTAACTTTGGCCAACGCTTAGGATCTTGATCAGTAATCATTTTGGTTTCAGAGATTCGGATTTGCAAAATTTACTGATCCAATGAATCCGGGGAGGGGGGGGGGGGAGAATTCAACCATAAACGGGTTATTTTTTTTGCTCTCATACCCCAAATCTGAACTGCTCAAATAGAATCAATGATTCCTAGAATTTTAGCAGTAAAATGGGCGAAAAAAAAGGAAGATTATTTGAAAATTCATTTTGGAGAAATTTGTTCAGAACTTGTCCCAAGTGGTCTAGGTACGAATTTAATTCATAACAGCAAGACTTAGCCTTTTATTATATCATGTTACATTCAGATATTTATACCATGCCCCTAATTAGGGCGAGGATATAAATTCACAAAATATCCCCATAAAGCTATTTAACCTAAAAATAAGTGCAGTGCAAAGGGAATCTAAAATGACATTTGTTAAATGATTCCCAAGACTTTATATATATTTTTATCAGCATACCTCACTAGAGCTAATAGTTATCTACCTGGCAGCCTAAATAGCTGACATGTACACTTCAACTGTTCACTTAAAAAGGACAGATGGATAACCTAACCAGTAAAATAATAAAATATGCAACGTTCTCAATGTAGTTCTTTGTCTATTCTTTAGTAAAGGATTATCGTACATTATCATTCTAGTCTATTTGTAATGTACTATAATCCAATAGATTAACAAGTACAATAAGTGGCAATAGAGAAATGGATCAATTATACATGACGTCACAAGTGTCAGATATATCGAGGAAGACAACATTTTTAACCATTAGTTGACATGTTTTCAAAGATAAAAGAAAAGTGTAAAAACAGAAAATAAAGAACAGAAAAAAGCACCAATTTCACCGTAAGAAGCACTTTATTATCACTACTAATAATAATTTTGTCGGGCACATAAAACTGTTGACACTTGTGACGTAAGAATACAGCTGTGATGAGTGTACAAAATCAAAGCTGTCATCAAGTGTACTGGAAATTAATTTGTTATAACCTAGTTTGTACACTTACCTTCAATTCTTTGTCATGATGATTCAGAAAGATACGAAGGAAAGAATCATCATCTTCAGTTGGTTCAGCACCTCCTTTATCTTTAGCTGGTAGGTCTGCTATGCCTTCATCTCTAGCAGATAGGTCAGGGACGCCCTCATCTTTAGACGAAAGGTCAGACAAGCCTTCATCTTTAGCAAGTAGGTCCGCGATACAACCTTTATCTTTAAGAAGTAGGTCAGCAACTAAACGCAAACATATTTAATCACTCATAAGCAGAGTTGAAGTGCATGGTGACAATGGGTCAATAAAGTGATCAATAAAAAAGAAATTGTACGAACAAAGTAGCAATTTAAATACGTTCAACTTTAAAAAACATAAATGTTTCCAATAGCTGTGGAACAGGTTTAAAAATTGTCGAGATTCTAAAATAGTTTCCGGGTAAAACTAAAAATGTCCTTATGATGCGGCTTGTTCTCATAAAAACGGAATGCGCCAATTCCTACCATGAAAATCCGCCAAATAAAATAAGATGCAGCTTGAATCCGAAAGCTCAACGACAAGGCCCAACGACAGCTTAGACCCTAGCCGTATTTACCCGAATTTTTTAAATCGCCTGGGCTCCGTTTATAAAAAATTTATATGCTTAAAATACACATACGAAATGAAAAAAGAGGGAAATTTTTTTTATTTTCACCATCAAGTTATTTAAAATTTTTGTGAAGCCCCAAAAACGTATATTATAGAACTGTAAAGGACTTGTATTTAGCTTTAGCATAAAGAAGTATTCGGAAAAATTCTCTTTTTTTGCAATCTTTGCAGCACCGTGATACGGTTTGTAAGACGGTTTAGTATTCATTGAGTTCATACGGACATATTTCCAATGAACATAGATTCTCAGAGGTGCGACACATTTTCTAATGCGAAATTTTAGCATTTTAAAATTTTTTTCTTTCACCACTTCCAGATGGAACCAAGGAGAGGTGTATAAAAAAGACGGGATTATTCACTGTTTCCTGAGTATTTGTCCGGTAAAAAAACAAAAATTCTTAACAATGTTACAAAATATCGTCAGATCCAATTTAAACGATTTCCAAAATCACATTTCAAAATCCCTAAAAAATTGACAGATATAACCTAATTTAGCCGAGTAGTTGAAAAAAGCAAAAAAAATGGCGGGAAAAAAAGTAAAATGGCTGGCTCATTTAGGAAAATTATTTTAAAAAGCTAAAATTTCGCATTTGCACTAGTTTTATCCTGATGCTTCCTAACATATGTTTTGCACATCTGGATTTATTTTTAGGGGCACCCTAAAAACCCCCTGACCCCGTACATAACTTTAAACACAAATTTACCTGAAATGAATTCTTCAAGATTCGGTTCATCTTCCTCCTGAAAAAAAGAATACGATAATCTTATGAGGAAAAGAATGTAATAATGGAAATTCTTAAACGAGATGACCTAACCTTAAAGATTATGCCATCTCGTTTAAAAATTCCATTATTACATTTTTATCCTAATCAGATTAATATTATATCATATTTGCGAGGTTCTATAAGCTAAGATTTTTTTTTAGTCGTGTGAAATACCACTTTAGCAAGTTGGAATAATTGACATCATTTCCGATTGTGCTACAACTTTAACTCTAGCCATGCGAGATATGGTGACTGCTGAGGTACTTCAAAACCGGTTTTAGCCGTAGGATCTTTATCATGTCTACTGTGTCCAAATATTACAACTGAATTTTGGAAAAGCTCTTTTTGTTCAGTATCCAGTTATAAAGTGAAAAAGCAGTTGATTGAAATTGTGAAAAACACGATAACCTTTCCATTCTGGAAAAGCCTTGACCGTTCTATTACAATATGCAGAGATTTCCAAAATCTTGCATGGTTTGCAATAAAGAAAAGCTAAAAAATTGTTTGAATAAAGTAGGCAGTCGGGCAGTATGCTTTGAGACTCAAGACAGTTTGATGAAATTGCCTAATATATATAAGGCCTAAAGAATTGTCCATAACTTTTTTTTAGGAAAGGTCAGAAAATGTGAACGTCCTCTGAATCATTCTTAATGAGATATATGTTAATTATACACATTCTTCTGTCAGGACTAAGCTAGGTCAAGATTTGAACGGAAATTTTTGAATTAAGATATATTAATACTTCTAAAAATGAAAAGGTAAGTGAGCATGAAAGGGTATGTTTGCATGTTTTAATATAAAAGAAAAAGGTGAGAGTGCATGTTGTTCGTAAAAAATAATTAAGTTAATATCAATTTCGATTTATGTTGAAAAGATTAATATAAAACGCGTGTAAGAATGAATTTTCTTCCACTTTAATGCTTGAAGCATGTAAATATACACATTCTTTTACGCTCTGACCGTGTAATAATTTCCATTCTTACACGGTCTGTGTGAAGAATAAAAATTCTAAACCCCCAGTGTAAGAATAAGGATTCTTTAACACTAAGAAGCGAACAATATTCGACAATTTTTCTCATGAGCCGTGTAATAATGGGAATTCATACATGATAGGTTTACTACTACGGAATACTGGAACCGAACAGATATGATATAATAATCGAGATAGATATACCGATACCTTTCTGTAATAAAAGTTTTGGGAATCTTGGATTTTTCTTTAAAGGTCTAATTTAAATTTTTTAAAAGTATTATTAGATTCAAACAAACATATGCATAAGAAAGTTTGAAATCAATGTTCTTTGCTCATCTTTATTTGCCATTGTTAGACTTAATAACTGCTTTCCAAAGAAGTGCTCAAGAGTAATAAAATAATTTCAATTAATTATCATTGAAATCCGTAAGAATCAATACTTTTTGATGTTTTTTCAACGTTCGGATCAGCTTTTGTATTCAAAGTTTTAAACTTGAATAATCAAAATATTGAAAAAAATCTTAAGTATTTATCTTAAACGGACAAAAATTATCTATTATTACCAATCGGTTAATAAATCATTTAGGGTCAATTTAGGAAAAAGCAAATTACCCATTAACTAATAGATTTCTCTAACCTGTATTTCATCCAGATTTCTAATGTTGTCGACATGAACTATTTCCACTACATCCGCAGCAATGAACATAATGGTAAAGCAATCAGTGTCCTCCGCCTTCTCCAACACAAACCCCAGCTCATACTGCTGGGTTGAACTGTTCAAAGCATTTACGTTACTGTTTACTACTATCTTCTGAGATTTAGTTTCAGAAGTTGGCGGAGTCTTATTGTTTCCAAGAGGTTTACTTTCTATATTATCATTGACTTGTAGCTCTGAGGTTACAGAAGTCTCGATCTTCAGATTGTTGTTGACTTCCTTTGGAGACTTGGTGTGAGGTTCAGTTTCTTTCTCAAGATCAAACTGCAGCTGCTTTGCTCCTCCCTCCAGAGCAGTGTCAAAATGAAGACCAAGGTACAGATTCTCGTCAAAGCTATCCCCAGAAGGTATTTTCTGGCGATCAGTTTGAATGCATTCAAGAGTGACGACATCTTCATTTCCATAATCTATAAACTGAACCTTGTATTTTGATTCATGGAAACCTGTAACCAGAGCTCTATACCAGGTTACATCTTCGGACCATTGAGCAAATACCTTATCCCCAACCTTGTAAAAATGCATCTGCTGGTTGAGAGGGGAGGTAGGAGAGCACTGTTCTGTGCTACTACCAGATACATCAGAGAATCCAAGATAAACATTTTCATCCTTCTCTTCCGACTCGGGAATACTGGAGCTATCAAGGTGTACTGAATTCAAATCAACTGTATCTGTATTTCCATAATCAATGAAGAGAACAGAAACCTTATCCTCTGACAAAGATGTTACTATAGCTCTGTACCAAGTTTGATCTTCTCCCCATTTTGCAAACACATGGTTGCCTTGTTTCTGTAGCGAGGCTTCATCTATAGGTACTCTGGAGACAGGGGTTTCAGCACTGGACAGTACTTCAAAATTCTTTGATTCGTGTGCTTCTGTTGTAGAAGGAGCATTAGGTGTTGGATCTACAGTGACACTCGCGTCTTTGGGAACCTGTTGGATTTCAGACCCGAGATTTTCATCCTTTAAATCAGAAACAGGGATGTCAGACTCCTTGTGAACAATACTGGCTTTGTCAACAATATCAGCATTGCCGTAGTCATAGAACAGGACTGTAACTGTATTAAGAGCAGTGGACTGGATCTGTGCTCTGTACCATGTTTTGTCCTCAGCCCATTTGGCTAGCACCAGATCTCCTTCCTTCAGATCATAAGTATGCGCTTCCAACTCGACGAGTTCCTTAACAGGATCAATAATCTTTTCAAGCTGAGTCTCATGTGATGAAGTTACTTCTGAAGAAACAATGTCTAACACCATGTTTGTGGGTTGGCTTTCAATATTTTCATCCTTTAAATCAGCTGCTGGAATCTTGCACGGCGTTAGAACAATATTTGACCTCGCCACACTATCTGTGTTTCCATAGTCATAGAACATGACGGTGCATGAATTTTCCTCTCTAGTCAGAATCTGTGCTCTGTACCATGTGTTGTCCTCAGTCCACTTTGCAAGAACAAATTCTGCGTGTTCAAGAATATCTTTTTGCTCAGCAGCTCCATTATCTTGGGCAGCTCCCATTGCCAGAGCTTCCTTGGCTATATGAGTCTCCAGAGAGCCGTGTTCAGGTACAGGTTTGGTTACCAGAACATGCTCATCAATAAAATCTTCCTTAGGGATTAGATCAACACATCTAACGACATGGTTTACAATTTCCTGGTTCCCATAGCTGGTGAAAAGAGCTGTGCAGTAGTTCTTCTCTATCTTTAAGATTTCAGCGTTATACCAGGTTTGATCCATGTTCCAGCGCGCAATCACATGTTCTCCAACCTAACAAAAACATAAGATTTTTTTTGCTGCATAATGTTATTTTAATAAACGAAAATAAGGCTTTTTGTTAATAATTTTGCAATAACCATAATATTACAAAACATGCAATTATTTTAATAAAATTATTGTCGTACTCATATTCAGCAAATTTTCTGTAATACTTTATCACGTAATTTAAATCATCTGTTCTATTTTTAATATATGTGATTTTCATTTGTGTCATAAAGCAAGTTGTCTATTAAAGTTGAGATGCGATCATTTGATGGCAAAGTTAAATAAAAACTGATCAACCATTTTCTAATTCAGGGTTCCTCCAAGAGCAAATTTGGGTCAGTTTACCTCACCCTACTGACCTGTCACTTTCAGATTTGAAATTTTTGGGCAAAAATCTGCCAATTTAGGAAAAACAATTGCCAAATTAGAAAACTAATCTGCCAATTTTGGGGAAAAGCTACCAATTAACGCATAAAATATACAGCAAACATAAACTTAATGCATAAAATTGGCCACAAAAATTATGGATGAGCTTAAATCTGCCAGAAACAAAATCTTAATGCATGAAATCTGCCACAAAAATTATGAATGAGCTTTAAATCTGCCACAAACATAATCTTAATGCATGAAATCTGCCACAAAAATCATGAATGAGCTTTAAATCTGCCACAAACATAATCTTAATGCGTAAAATCTGCCACAAAAATTATGAATGATCTAATCAGGGTGGCCAAAACTTTTTTGAACCCATCCGTACAAAAATCCGTACATTTTCAGAAGAAATCCGTACAATCCGTACAATTTTCGAAAAACAATCCNAACATTAATCAATCTAATATTATTTAGAATGCAGAAAATAAGTTAAACTAACTTCATTTTGACGAGAATTTTTTTTTTTTTTCATGAAAAATTTGCTGAAATGAGTGAAAATTTAAAAAAACTGTGTATTTTCCAGGATAAAATCCGTACAATCCGTACAATTTGAAAACAAGTCCGTACAATCCGTACAATTTTAGGGTTAAAAAAAAATCAATCCGTACAATCCGTACATTTTGGCCACCCTGGATCTTTAATCTGCCACAAACATAACCTTAATGCATGAAATCTGTCACACAAATTATGAATGAGGTTTAAATCTGCCACAAACATAATCTTAAAGCATGAAATATGCAACAAAAATTATGAACGAGCTTTAATTCTGCCACAAACATCAACTTAATGCATGAAGTCTGCCACAAAAATTGTGAATGAGCTTTTAATCGGCCACAAACATCATCTCTAATGAAATCTGCCACTGAAATTATGAATAAGCTTTAAATCTGCCACAAAACTAATCTTAATTCATGAAATCTGCCACAAAACTAATTCGAATGAGCTTTAAATCTGCCACAAACATAAACTTAAAGCTTGAAATCTGCCACAAAAATAATGAATGAGCTAAAAAAAATGGCACAAAATAATGTTAACAGATAACAAATGCCCAAAGTTTTTACTGAAATTATTCAGATACATAAATTCTGTCTCAAAAAATCATCAATAAGGGTAAAATCTGCCAAAAAATAATGTTAACACATAAGAAGTTATATAGTAAGTTATACCCTGACACACCTCTATCTAAATCCCCAAAAAAAATTGCCTCACATGCAATTGAAGCTTAGAAACTTAAATCCTTAATGCATATAATCTGCCAAAAAATTATAAGCTTAAAATCGTCCACAAAATTGTTTTAGCACAAAAAATGCCACAATAGCTATACCAGCTGAAACATGCAATCAAAGCTTAGAACTTGTGCCACCTTAAATATTTGGGGGGGGGGGGGCAGGGGGCGGTGGATTTTCTAATGACTCCCTTCCCCCCATCATGCTGCTGTAAAACCAGTTGCTTGTAGGTTGGATGTGTAGTTTAGCGGATTTGACGTAGGTCAGAAGTTGAGTTATAGCGGATGTGCCTAGGTCGAAAGATAGGCCTCATTTCTGCTAAGGGTGAACGCGCAAAAAGTGTACATCTGAGGCCTTTTCTGTTATTGGTTAAAATTATCTTTCTGTAATTGGTTTAATCAAGCGTCACACATGTATTCCCTCTTTTAAAAAGCTAATCTGTGCACATACATGACTTCACAACAAATTTTAAACAATAAAATATAAAAAAATCCCAAAGTTTCATGAAAAACAGTAATGAAAATCTAATGGGAGGGACCTGGTTATTGACCTTTTTTCAGCACCAAAACGCTCTATACTACTACAAAAATCCAAAAAATTTCTCTGTAAACTCTGCCACTTTTTTATTGTAATTAGTTAAATTAAGCGTCACACATATATTCTCCCTTTTAAAAGCTAATCTGTGCACATACTTGACTTCAAAAAGAAATTTTAAACAATAAATTTTTTTTTTTTTTTAATTTCATGAAAAATAGTAATGAAAATCTTATAGGAGGAACCTGGTTATTGACCTTTTTACAACACCAAATCGCTCTATTCTACTACCAAAATCCCAGAATTTTCTCTTCGAAGTTTTCGTGGGCTGTGTGTAAATTCTGTCACTTTTTGATTGGAATTGAACATTAAGCGTCACACATATATTCTCCCTTTTATAAGCTAATCTGTGCACATACTTGACTTCAAAAAGAAATTTTAAACAATAAAAATATTTTTTTTTTAAAGTTTCATGAAAAATAGTAATGAAAATCTAATGGGAGGGACCTGGTTATTGACCTTTTTACTGCACCAAAACGCTCTATTCTACTATTCTGGGCTGTGTGTAAATTCTGCCACTTTTTGAAAATCTGCCACTTTTGCTTTTATCCTGACCTGCCACAAAAAAACCTGGGAGGAACCCTGTTCTAATTGTACTAATTAGATCACAGAATAGTGTTTTTACTACATATCTGCAAGACAGATTACAGTACAGTACAGTACAATAAAAAGAAATTTTACCTGTAGATCACTCGGAATAGATGATGTTTCTGCCGGCATCTCCTCTATGGACTTAGAAAACCTGAAAATTAAAAAAAAAGATTATCAAATGGAAACTTATAGAACATTAAGTCGGAAAATTGTGCTTTAGAACAACCCCTCGGGGCCAGAATGAGGGTTGTTAAAATGTGTAGGAATGAATTAAATGAAATTCAATTCTCGAGTTTTACAGTTTAAAACTTTGGATTATATCTCAATTTGTCCTTTTCACACTTATTAAATTTCAAATGTAGATGGATAAAGAAAGTGTGTCTTTTTCACAACTTCAAAACTTTTATTCCCTGAAACAAATTGTGACTGTCGTAATTACAAAATTTTATTCTCAATCCCCACACCCCTGCTGTACCTGGAGAATGCTTGAGGATGAACAATTCCATCTGCCGGAACATCCTGTATACTGGTCACTATATACTTCTGCTTAATGGTCTCCTGCTCTGAGTCTGGGAACTCGACTAGGAAACGTTCCTTCTTCACCTCCTTAACTATAGTTCCTGCGTTCCAGGTTTTTGAAGAGGACCTTGCAAGGGTCTTAGTTCCAGGAAGCAGCACGGACACACCCTGAAGTAGGATTATCCTAATAGGGACCATAACTTGTCTTAAAGCAGTGCTTAAAGTTTAGATCTGGATTTACTGTTTCCAGAATATTATCCCTGAACCAACTTGAATCCACTACAATAGGTGGATTCACAGATCCAAATGGGGTCAATATAAACAAAAACGAAAAAAACGCACACAAAGGGGATGGTGGAGATGTCCTGTTTAATGAGGGGGGAGGGGGTCCCTGCCTTCGTTTTGGCTCAAATCTTTCAATTTTTTGGCTGCACGCCTAATTAGTGTTCGAATTTTGTAAGATAAAATTGAATTGAATTTTAATGACCTCTAATGACTTCTGATGACCTCAACAAATAGCAAATGTTTCAACAATGGTTTAATGCATATCAAACGAAAGCTAGAAGCCCAAGGAATACAGTAGCAGCCACGAATCTAGTGTTTGACCCTCTAATGACCTCAACCAACCTCTAATGACCTAAAATTACCTCCATAATGAAAATGTTTCAACTATGGCTATATGTAGCTCAAACAAAAGCTAGGAACCCAAGGAATACAGTAGCAGCAACAAATCTAGTGGTAGACCCTCTTAAGACCTCTACTGACCTCTACTGACCTCAACAAATAGAAAATGTTAACTATGGCTTTATATAACTCAAACAAAAGCTAGGAACCCAGTGAATACAGCAGTAGCAACTAATCTAGTGTTAGACTTTAATGACCTCTATCGACCTCGAATGACCTCAACAAATAGAAAATGTTTTAACTATGGCTTTATGCAGTAGAATAGAGAAGCAGCAACAAATTTAGTTTTTTGACCCTCTAATGGCCTCTGAAGATCAAAAATGACTATAGCTTGGAACTATGAATATCCAACAAAGCTTGGAACCTAGGGAATACAGTAGCAGAAACGAATCCAGTGTTTGACCTTCTGATGACCTCTAACAACCTTAAATGTTCTCTAATTACCTCAACAAACAGAAAATGTTTTAACTATGGCTTTATGCAGCAGAATAGAGTAGCAGCAACAAATCTAGTTTTTGACCATCTAATGGCCTCTCCTGAAGATCTAAAATGACATCCATATGAAAATGTTTTAACTATAGCTTTATGAATATCCAACAAAGCTTGGAACCTAGGGAATACAGTAGCAGCAACGAATCCAGTGTTTGACCTTCTAATGACCTCTAACAGCCTTAAATGATCTCCAAATCATGAATATTTTAACTATGGCTTTATGCATATCAAACGAAAGCTAGGAACCATGGTAATAAAGTAGTAGTAAATGGTAGCAGAGCTAAAGTGTTAAGATCTAAAGACCTTGTTTGAAATACCTGACCATAGGTGTTAGTGTGTTAAACCTGATCAAAGGTTTTTATCGACTATACTGTAGGTACAAATTTGTATCTTTCTCTAGCGTCAACACTAGGGTTGAATTGTGTGGTGTGCTTATCAAGGAGTACTTGATGTCCCTTGGTGATAACCTTTAGGGTTAAGTGTGAAATCAAGTGATTTTTTTTTAAATGGCGACAAAAATTAACATACAACCCCCAGACCTGAACAATTGTTAGAAGCTAGGTATTGTTGTTAAATAAATAGGTCCAAGAAAAAATATTGCAACATTTTTTTCCGTTTTTAGTTAATTATCAAAAATATTATTTTTCATTATTTTAGTTCTCATTGTTAAACAATATGTAAACCATCTTTGAAAATAAACTTGCTAACATCAAAAACCCTTCTCTATTGCAAATGTGCATGCATTTTTGTCAAAATAAAGGAGGATTCTGTGAAAACATTAAAATAAATTTGATCAAATTGTTTTACAATAATTAGAACATTTGTAACATATGTATCAAATAAACATCTTTTATTGATTGAAGCAATCCATATAGATCAATTCATAGCTTTCATTTGACATGCATAATGCCATAATGCCATAGTTAAAACATTTTTATAAAGAAGATCATTATTGGTCGTTAGTGGTCATTAGAGGGTCAAATTCTAGATTTGTTGCTGCTACTATACTCCGAGTTCCTAACTTATGTTTAATAAACAAGAGCCATAGTTAAAACATTTTCATTTTGGAGTAATTTTAGGTTAATTAGAGGTCATTGGAGAGTCAAACACTAGATTCGTTGCTGCTACTGTATTCTCTGGGATCCTAGCTTTTGTTTGATATGTATTAAGCCATAGTTAAAACATTTTCATTTTGGAGGTCATTTTAGATCGTTGGAGATCTTTAAGAGAGTCAAATACTAGATTCTTTGCAGCTATTGTATTCTCTGCTTGTTCAGCTTTTGTTTGATATGAATAAAGCCATAGTTGACACATTTTCATTTTAGAGGGCATTTAAGGTCGTTTGAGGTCATGAGAGGGTCAAACAATCGTCATTGCTGCTACTGTGTTCCATGGGTTCCTAGCGTTCGTTTGATATGCATTAAACCATTGTTGAAATATTTGCTATTTGTTGAGGTCATTAGAGGGATCATTAAAATTAAATTCAATTTTGCTTAAGGAAATTCGAACACTAATTAGGCCAAAATATTGGAAGATTTGAACCAAAAAGGAAGACAGGAACTCCCCCCCCCTCCCCTCATACCGGACATCTCCTCAATCCCCTTTTTACTCTCAAAATGCAAGATGTTTAAATTTAACCTTCTCTAGAATTAAATAGAGAATAAAGTTTCAAAAATGTTAGCGGAGAAAAATAAGAAAATTTAGAAGTTTTTGGTAAACGATAAAAGTACACACAAATAAAAATACACACCGGAGAGCTAGTTTCACTGCTAGATGTACTCAGGAAGGTTTTAGGTCTAGCTCCTCCAAAACTATCATCTACAAGAGGAGCGCTAGGATCTACTTGATGTTTCTCTTGATCAGAAGAGACAACCGCTACTGGAGTAGAGATTTCGGGAAGTCCAGAGGAACTTGCTTCTTCAGAATGCTGAAAAATCATTAATTATTTAACACATAAAATTTATTAAATTCTTAGACCAAAATTTAAAATTTGAGTGAAATAGGGAAAATATACGTAGAATATAGCTGGTTTTTTTTTAATTTTTAATCCAGGTGAATTGTTAAAAAATACATAAAATTTGAAAACAGTTTTGTTTAACAGTAAAAATTATTATGCTAAAGCTAGATATCCCCGGCAGGGTTTAGCCCAGGTTGTAAAATAAGGTTTATACTCTGGATGCGCTCCAATGTAAAGACAACCTGTTAAGCAATGGACAAACTAAATCCTCCTCTGACGTCACTGCTTATTAATTTTAAAGAATAAAACATTTTACGGCTCACAAAATATAAACAAACTCAAAAATTGAATTGCATTTCTATCTTCAAACGTCTTAGCTCAATAAAATGTGATGATTGTCAGTTAAGTATAGTGACGTCATATGAGAATTTTAGGTGTCTATTGCAAAAAAGAAGACATTTACCTACATTGCAGTGCATCTATAGTATCTATACTTACAACCTTGGTATAGCCTGAGCCAAGTGGTATTAGTAATGTCCTAATAACGACACAATAGAGAAAAAAAAATATGCCCCTTTCTCACTAGCTTTATCTTTTTCAATCCTAGCTTTTAAATATATACTATATATATGAACCCAGGGTTGTAAATTATCAGTTACAAATTTGAACTGATTTGAACCTGAAGTTCATTTATTTTCTCTTCATTTTTTTTAAATCCCCCCTTTAATACCTTTGTTTGAACCTGAGCTGCATTATCTTCAGACATGGATAAATCCGCATTCTTTCCCTCCAGGATCTCCGTCTCGTGCACCTCCTCTAGTCTCTTATTGAAGGTCAAGGATGTGTTCAAGGTTGATGAGAGTAGTCTCCTACCAGTGTCTGATAAACCAGGATACGCCTGTATTAATATCATAGAGAATAGAATATATATTAGAGGGGAATTTAAAGAATCTCTCGGTATGAATTTTTTCAGACCCTTTCAGCCTGAAAGGGAGTTCAAAGTGTACAAATCATGTAAATNATTATTTAGAATGCAGAAAATAAGTTAAACTAACTTCATTTTGACGAGAATTTTTTTTTTATTTTCATGAAAAATTTGCTGAAATGAGTGAAAATTTAAAAAAAACGGTGTATTTTCCAGGATAAAATCCGTACAATCCGTACAATTTGAAAACAAATCCGTACAATCCGTGCAATCCGTACAATCCGTACAATTTTAGGGTTAAAAAAAAATCAATCCGTACAATCCGTACAATCCGTACATTTTGGCCACCCTGTATACGCTAACCTTGTTGAAACACTCGCTGACAAATATTAAAACATTTTTTTAGATTTTCACTTTCTATTTGATATATTCTATGCTTAATGATTTAGACACCTTACGAAATCCATAAACATTTTGAAGTGATATGTTATTGAAGAAAAGTGCCCAACCTTGACCTGCAAAAGTTAAAAATTGACGATTCTTCAAGGATTTCAATACATGTCATTGCAGTGGAGGAAAATCACTTTTCTTCAATAACATATTCACTTCAAAATATTTATAGATTTCTTAAGTCGTCTAAATCATTAACATAGAATATATCAAATAGAAAGTGAAAATCTAAAAAAATGTTTTAATATTTGTCAGCGAGTGTTTCAACAAGGTTAGCGTATAGTAAAAATCCAGATTATTTTTCGACTAAACTTGCATGAAAATAAAATAGTTTTCAACAATTTAAAAAAAATTGATTTTAAGTCTTATAAAGTAGTATCTGGGGTTTCCAAAAATGATATTAAACAACATTCCAAGTCAAAAACTATGTATTTTATGAACATTTTAAAAGAACAAGTTCAAAATGTCCAAACACGTCATTAAATTATAAGAAAGTTACAATTTTCAAAAACTCAAAAAACGGAGTTTTTTTTAACTATTCATTAATCGACCATTTTTGAAGGTATTTCAAAAAGTAATGACATTTTAGAATAAGTATAAAATATAGAAAATGAAAATAAAAATTATTTTTTTTTGTTCAGTTCTCATGGGGTATGTTAGTGAGCTGCAAGTGCGCATCAATAAAATCGACGATTTTGGGGCTAAAACTGCTTATAAAACTATGATTTTTCAAAATATTCAGTATGAGTTGGTTTCATCTTTTAGACCATTATCTGGGATTTCCAAAATGATATAAAACATTATTCTCAGTCAAAAACTTTGAATTTTAAAAAAGTTTTAAGAAATAAGATCAATAAAGTTCGAAAATGGCCAAAAATCACGTTTTTACCGACGGCACCGGAAAAAATGGTCAAAAATAAAAAATATTTTGGATTTTTCTTAGTTTTATATATATCTATTCAAAAGAAAAAGTGCACCTCTGAACAATTTTTACAGGGCCACCCTATTCTACCTATGGTAGAACGTCTAAGAAAGCCGCCATATGTGAAGTACACCTGCAGTATGGAAACAGTACAACAAAACGGCCGTTATACTCTTTTTTCTAGTAAATTCCCCTCTAATATATATTCTATTCTCTATGAATTATGTACAGACTAGCGGACCAGTTTCCAATATACCCGAGGTATATATTTTCATCACCCCCCACCCTTTTTTGAAAATCAACTTTTCCCCAGAAGTTAGATTTGAAAAAAATAAGTGAATTTTTGGGTTAGTCTGAAAAAGGATTAAAAACTTGCTTCATCATGGTAAATTCTTTATCCCCCCCCCCCCGAGCTTAAAATATATCTGGAATTTTAAATAATATACACCCCTGGGACACACCTGGATTTAATTACAGGGTGTCTCAATAAACATGGAAATTCAGTGACGAATTCGAGATCGTCTTTGTTGAGAATTAGCAATGTAATACTTGATTTCAGAAGTCATAAGATAATTATGTCTCTGGTGAGGTTTTTTTATGAAAACGGTAAAAGTTTGTAAAGATGTAAACCCGTTTCAAAACTGAAATTTTCTTGTTTTACTAAGTACAACCGTATAAAGTCAAAACATAAACAAACAAAATGTAAACATAGCAGACGAAAATCTTACGGATTACGGCCTCCTCAAAGTATCACTATGCTAAATAAAAAAATATTTAAAGACGATATTGAACTAGTCTTTCAATTACCATGTTTACTGGGCCACAGTAACTAAAGATCAACAACAAAAAATAGGACTCAAATAATGGGAAGACGATATTTATAATAAGTAAAAGAACTAAATCAAAAAATGTAATGCAAAAGACGACATTTGAAATTGGTTTACAGCTTTCAAGCTTGATCGATTTTTCATTTTTTTTATCCTTTCTATTGATTTTGAGGAAAGTGTAATACTTCTACATCACAAATTATTTTACAAAAATCATCTACTGATTGCATTGCGATTTTGAATCAAAACATTAAAGTTAGCGAGAACTTTCACGTTTTTTACAAACCGACTGCGGGTTGAAAGAGATTCTCGCAATTTTTATTTAGAGCTTTTTGCTACCTTTGCTGCAAAGGAACCAGAGCAAGAAACGTCTCCACTTTCAGTCACGATTCTGAAATTAGCTTTAATAGGTCAAATGTTTCTCTTTTTTCCCTTGGGCCTGATAATCAAAATATGCTTTAGAGCCCGCGGAGCACGCAACAAGACATATATTAACCATAAACAGTGTATCATTTACACTCGCAGAAAAATTACAACTATTGGAAATTTAAACCTCTGGGCCCCAGAGGGAAGGATTTTTTTATATTCCATCATGGGGGTTAAATTTCAATTGAAACAAATTTATCTGCGAGTAAATGGCATTCCTTTGTTAAGATAAGGTTTTTACACGGAGCTGCGTAAGAATAAGCTTTTTGATCAGCGGTATTCAATGCCAATCATGAAATACCAACCGATTTTAATATTATTAAGGACTGGACTATGTCTGCAATATTATTATTAAGGACTGGACTATGTCTGCAATATTATTATTAAGGACTGGACTATGTCTGCAATATTATCATTAAGGACTGAACTATGTCTGCAAGTTTCATAAATTCTTACCCGCCACCGGTTGATGCTGATCCAGGATTTGCTTTGATTGGAGTAGATGTTGAGCTGTCACATTTAAGCGGAGAGAGTTGTACATGCGCTGGCTGTTGTGCATGAGATGGTTGCTGTACAGTGTAGAGACATATGGGGAGTGAACATGGACTTCCTGATATATGCTGCTCGAACAAACACACCGATACAGTATACAGTCCTCCTAAGAAAAAATGGTTTTATAAACTTTAGATCAATTTAATTTTAATGCGGATCCAGATCCGCAATGAAAGACTTAGATCTGAATCCAAGACGGGACCCGGATCTAGGTTCTGAACATTTCTTCAAGATTTGCTGATTTTTTTAAATTATGAAATTAAATGAAATTAAATCAGGCTAGAGAAACGACGGCATCTTCCACATTTATTATTTCACATATGTTGAAAAGGGTTCTGTTGTAATCAATCAAAATTAAAACAGTTTCCTCGAGTTTAAAAGGGGGGGGGGCCACAAAACGTATTACTCTCCGGAAAATTTAAACAGTGGTTAAACATAACTTAGAATTGTCGTAGGAGGCTGATTTTTTGCATGCAAACTCAGAATTATGTATATTACATGCAATTTTTGGTTTTGAAGGAATCTGAGCAAAAGTGCGTGCGCGCGCGCGTTTTTTGTGAAAAAATGCGACTTTTTTGACAGTAAATCAATGTTAACTTCATTAATTGCACTTGAAAATTTTTCCTGACACTCTTGAAACAAATATGCGCTAAAAAAATTCAACCCCAAAGGCTTAAATGTCCGCGCGCGCGCGCAATAAAAGAAAATATCTTTGTATACTAATGTGCTAAGTTTGGCCCAAGTTAGAATAACAGTTGCATGTGATACATCAAACTATAGCAAAATTGGGACAAGGAATTCATTTCCGAGGTCAAA